TTGCCAGTCTACAGCTAGCTGAGTTCTCAGTCCCGGTCATACATGCTCCTAACCGCAACATGCTTCGGTAATAATGCTGTGATGCGACAATAAAGAGGCTTGTTTACTTCACCTGCCGTAAATTTTTCGTAACACTGAATTGAAAGGTACATGTTTTCAGACGTTTAAAATATCACACGTTCGTCTGTTTCCTGGGGTTACAATCCACACAGCGACAAGAAAAAAATAATTATTTATTTATATATAATAAATAACGATTGTCATCAAAGTTCTTCTTTTTCATTTGAAAAGGTAATTTTTCTACCAGGCACCTCTCCTTCAATGCCTATACGCGTAGAACCATCGGTATATTCAAGGATGTGACGTAGAATGTTTCCTCTTCTCGTCATGTCGTCCAACTTCTCCTTGCTCACCTTACCACCTGCAATTCATGGGGGCGCTTATCAGAATATAATAATTGACAACATACGTATTGCGTGTAGCATCCACCATGTCAGATATACTTTATCCAGCTAATAACTCAAAATATTGAATTCATAGTGATATGCATTACACGAAGTTTACATGCTCTAAACACAGATTGCAATGTATCAAAGTTGACATGCGCCGCGATCACTGGGCGCAGATCAACGATTACAAACTGAGACGTTACTCAGCTGCAATTAGGTATATTTTAGGTGAGTAGCGCCTAGGTCAAACCTCATTTCTATTAGAAGAGCGCATTGGATTGTGGGAAAATCAATGTTTATCGACACAAATGTCACACACAGCGCGACGACCACTACCCTTTAAATAATACCCATAACTCACACATACCACAGCCCTTTAAATATATCGTAGGTGAAAGTAACATTGCTTAATCAGCTCATGAATATTTATGACCTTTCTTTGAATGTGATTAAAGCGGGAGGGTCGTCACCTGCGCACACGCAGGAATTGAGTCCCAAGCGACGATAACAGCACACGCTAAAAACGCAAAGGCTTATGGGTAGACGCTTGTTTGTAAACTATGACACGCTATGGCCAACTGGCGCATGCGCAGGTGACGACTCCCCCGCTTTAACATAGTAGATTAACGGACAAGGATTGAAATTGAGTTGTGAGTTCCAATCTTACAATGGGCGTTGTTTCTATTTCTGTAACTTTCGGGACACTTCTAAATTAGGTATGTTCTATAAATGTATAAGGGTCGCAATATTTGGTCCATATAAGTAGATACAAATTGTTCACAGACTTTCCCGCAAGAACAAATATATAGATCACGTGACTGTAACTCACCAATGATGTTATTCACTCGTTGTATTTCCTCGTGGACGAAAGAAACTCCCTTTTCTTGAATTTTCTTCAGGACAGCTAAATAGTAGTCAACATATCTAAAATAAAAAAAGACTTCTTTAACGTCTACATAAGAACATAATTTGGAACGATAAATTTAACTCATCAGATGAATGAAGTGCGGTGATGCTTCTTCCTGTACACCGCCCTCAATCTTAATAAATAACACTCACTTTATTTCTATGTCCGTTGTAAGCTGGGATGACGCCCTCAGTATGTCCTCTCTAGTGGAAGCCTGAAATACACAAACAATACACACTGTTCAAGGTCAAGATCAATTATCTAAATTAGAAGGTAAGTAACCTTACACATGTTTTGTAAAGAAAAAAAACGTAAATTTGACACTTTTTATTCAAAGATGTATTGAAATGAGATCCTAGTTTGTTTGTTTTTTATTTATTTAATATACTGATAATAATTTGTGTTATTATAGTTTGTTTAATTATTTATTTGTTTGATGTTTGTTAAATTTCGGGTAAGTATGTGGTTGTGGTTAACCACACCAGTAAAATAGACTGAGAAGTGTAATGTTGTTGAGATGTATTATTTGTATTAAAGCCAGCTAGATTGCTGTGACGTACAGGGCTCATACCACTTATTAGATTAGTTTTATAGACGACAATGTTAGCCCTTACAAATAAATATTGTTTTAATTTGCTAAAACCTCATGTATGTAATGTAATTATTGCTAGAAAAACACAAGAAATGGGTGTAAATAAAACACACACATTTTCCAGGCTGTCTACGTTCTACATATCATGCAGAATGGAATTTTGGAAGTGTCTAATCTAGTGCTGCCCAGATCCACGGGTCACGGGTCACGGGTCAATAAACAAAGCTTCAAACAGGTTGACGTAATTGCACAACTCCTTCTCACCTCTTAGATAAGACACGAAAAAAATCGTTGCCTAGCAACAAAAATATGATTTGAGGACTATGAACGCTGATTGGCTAATTGGTGGTATGCTGAGGCATACGTAAGTAAGAATATTACAGTACCGTATCACCACTTTGGATTTTTCTTGAGTACTTAGCGATGATGGGATCGATACTGGGGATACGCCCTGCCTGGAAAAATAAAAGAATCTTGACTTTCATGCTTCATCTTATATTGTTTAGTTATGTCAATTACGCTGGGAGGGGGGGGGGGTAACACACACCGATGTGGTATGTAAAAAGATCTATGTAATATACTATAATATATCAACTGTCATCTGAACACAGTCACAGTTTCGTATCACGAAACTAATGGTAAAGGAGACGTTAAATCTCAAGACAACAACAACTCACTGCGTCCGTTAGATTGCCGTTCAGCGATCTCCATAGTTTGGTTTCTCGGTTGATGAAATCCACGAAGTTCTGAGAGGTCAGCTGGACATTTGGGTCGTGCGATGCACCTGGAAACTAAGCACATATGAATATTGATTACGTCACTTCCTGGACAGCGGAATGTGTAAATAATTAGAGCATTAGGTAACATGGACAGGTCACGTGACTTGTTACTACACAGAATGCAACTATTGCGATTATACAAATTAACATCTTTTAAATCTTTAGTATAACGCCCTACACTGGTTGGAGTAATCGCTCAACGAACAAGCAAATATATTGCGGCATCGCTTTTTTGAAATTTCGACAAGCTAGTAGATGCATTCACGGTGAAATAAATGACACATTAAACTTGTGTCATGTTATTGGTAACTTCACGTGTCAAATGATAAATTTAAACTTACCAGTTTTGATCTTTTAGTTCTTTGTGGGAACCACAGATATGCCGGGAGAGCGTGGACATGATAACTGGGAATATAAAATGCATGAACCGATTTGTATCATTTGTACAGAGCCACCGATGGTTGGATACTGACAAAGTTCACCGATATAAACTAATATCGAACAGAGCCAAAAGACAAGTCTCACTTCTCTGTTCGTGTCATCCGTTCGCACGTAACGTGAGCAGTGGCGGATCCAGCAAAATGTATTGGGGGGGGGGGGGGTCCAAGCTACGCTTAAGATATACGGACCGTAAATCGCAGAGAAGCTATGCGTAATTTAGATGATACGAATCGTCATGCGTTTGGGGGGGTATGCCCCCTGGCCCCCCTCTGGATCCGCCACTGAACGTGAGTGGAGCAAATTGTATTTCCCGCTAATTGTAAGTTGTTTTACAGTATTCACAATATTATTATAGCAAAGTAACCCACTAAGGAGTGTGATGTTTTTTACGAGCCGGCTACTGCATTTTTATAATTCTGAGCACTTCAAATGAAACGTTAATCTGATAAGTCAGATTTGAAAGACTATTCTACTGACACGACTAACTACAAAGTAAGCAACATCATAGAGGATCTGATGAAGTGCTTAAACAGAAATAATATCATTTGACACCTGTTGATAGCTTATCATTAAAATTGTTAAAGGGCGGTAGTCGTCGCGCCACTCATGCGCGAGATATATGGGTCTCATATAAACAAAGATGGCGACTTTGGCTGTTGGCTGATCAACGAGTACAAACTGAGATATTACCAAGCTTAAATTAGGTATTTCTTAGGTGATTGGAAGGTATCGAAGGAGTCACCGGCGGCAATTAGTGCAAGTCGCGCCCAGGTCAAACCTCATACTTGTAATTTTTCTTTAGAAAGGCGCATTGGATTGTGGGAAAATCAATGTTTGTCAACACAAATTTCACACATGCACGGCGCGACGACTACTAGTACCACCACCCTTTAACATGTAACTAACAAAGACTAGTGGGCGGACTGCATGTTTCTTTTTAATAAGAAAGCGTATTTATTTTAATACTTACTGTTCTAGAAGATATCTGTCCGTATCACGACTCAGATCAACACGACCAAATAGTATCTGAAGATATAAATTGTTAGTCTAATAAGATCATAAAGACAATTACACCAAAGGAACCTTCTCAATGAAGCCTGACTAAATCGAAAAAAAACACACACACAAAGGGACTGATGTCGAAAGCAAACACTGATAAAGTGAAATCTATCTGTACCGAACAACAACAAAACTAAAGCAGTGAAACCTGTCTAAACCAAAGAACTGATGCAGTGAAATCTGTCTAAACCGAACAACAACAAAACTGATGCAGTAAAACCTGTCTTAACCGAACAACAGATGAACTGATGCAGTGAAACATGTCGAAAGCAAACAACAAAAGAACTGATGCAGTGAAACCTGTCCAAACCGAAGAACAAAAGAACTGATGCAGTGAAACATGTCTAAACCGAACAACAAAAGAACTGATGCAGTGAAACCTGTCCAAACCGAAGAACAACAGAACTGATGCAGTGAAACATGAAACATGTCTAAACCGAACAACAAAAGAACTGATGCAGTGAAACCTGCCTAAACCGTAAAAACAAAAGAACTGATGCAGTAAAACCTGTCGAAAGCAAACAACGAAAGAACTGATGCAGTGAAACCTGTCCAAACCGGAGAACAAAAGAACTGATGCAGTGAAACATGTCTAAACCGAACAACAAAAGAACTGATGCAGGGAAACCTGTCTAA